ACCAGGAGTGTGATGAATGTTATCTAAAGAACCAATTTTGGATTTCACAGTAGACAACGGTATTTTTGGTGGTATTTTTATGGGGATATATTTTTCACCTCCACCGGGAACATGGTCAATGTTGTCCAGGGATCCTACACGTGGTTGCACATGATCAAAACTTGGTTTTCTGGAAAAGATTTTAACGTTACCACCTAATAAATGAATATGAATTAGTAAATAAACAATAATTTTAATAAATGAATATGAATTAGTAAATAAACAATAATTTTCAAAAATTTTCTTTACCTTGTGGAATATGACTAATATTATCTAAAGAACCAACTCGTGAATGAACTTTAGAATAATCAGTTTTAACCAATGTGATTTTTTTATCACCTCCTTTTGGTACATGATTAATGTTATCCAACGAACCAATTCGGGAAGTAACGTTAGAAAAGTCGGTTTTAATTGATTCAATTTTTTTATCACCTCCTTTTGGTACATGATTAATATTTTCCAGTGAGGCAATTTTTGAACTCACATTAGAATAATCAATTTTAACTGACAAGATTTTCTTATCACCTCCTTTTGGAACATGGTCAATATTATCTAAAGAGCCAATTCGTGAACCGACAGTAGAAAAATCTGGCTTGTCAGAAAAAATTTTTATCTCACTTCCTTTTGGTATATGACTTATGTTATCCAAAGACCCTACACGTGATCTAACATGAGTAAAATCTTGCTTTTGTGTAGGAATTATGTGTGGTGAAACTCTTGACTTTTTTCTTCCACCGCTGCTATTACTGCTCGTTTGTGATAATGTATCGCTATTTTGAGAACTTAATTCTTTGGAACTTTGTGAACGTGTTAATTGAGGTCGTGGAATTTTTGGTGAGCCGTTCGTAGGTGAATATTTGATGTTGGTAGTTTTAATAGTCGGAGTAGTCGGAATAGTCGGAATAGTTGGAACGGAATTTTTTCTTGTTATCTGTTTAAAAGTTTTACTTTTATCATCGTTATCGGTTAATAATTGTTTACCATTACTATTATTAAAATTTGTTGAATTATTTGTTGTTGACTTCAGTTGTATGCTCGATGGCTTTTTTAAAGAGGGTAACTGAGAAGGTATCTGACTTTGCGTTGCTGCCATCGTTTACTATTAAATTACTTGAAAAGGTTTTTAAAAAAGGAAGTATTATCGTTAAAAGTCGAAACAAAACATTCAGAAAATTTATATTAAAGAGTATGAAGAAATAAATAGGTCGGATGCATTCATTAAATAAAGAATGTATATGACAAAGATTTTTTTTGTATTAAAGAAATCGGAAAGACAAAAAGTGCAAGCCGAACACAGCATCCATGAAGTTCAAGCCTGCATACATAAAAAGAAATTCTGATAAAACTTGTTTTTGTTCAATGAACACATTAATGATTTTGTAATTTTTTGTGCATGTGTAATTTACCGGATTAAGTACATAGGAGTGGCGATTGTTTAGAGTTTTTGAAAGTACAGATAGTACAGATATAATGTTGAAACAATAAACAAAATAAACAAGAATAAAGTTTGTAAATTTTGAGTTAGGTTGTAAACGCATTAATATGAAATATGTATGAAAATTAATAAAGTTGATAAAACAATTACCTATAAAAAGAGTCTATACAATAACGAAACGAGACAAATTTCAGGGGCTAAATTTTTTCTTTTTGATAAAGATAGCGATAGAGGCAAAATAAAATTAATTGATATACTGTCAATCTTGTCTATTACATATGAAATTTGATTTTACTCTAGACAAATTACTAATATATAAGTTCCGATGAACGGGTCCAAACTGGTGTTTTTATGGTCCGGTTAGGAACCAGTTCAGATTTGCCGCTTACGTACAGCAATACCATTGCAATGGGGGTGTTCAATGTACAGTACTATGTAAATCAAATCTATGTGTCCCATAAGAATAATTTATTGTGTAACAAACGCAAAAGTTTATAGTAAAAAAATGCCGGATTTTTTAACAAATTTATTAAAAAGTAAATTAATACATACGCTCTTTGTTTAAGATACAGAGTAGCTGAGCAAAATTTCTAAACAAATTAATATGTAAATTGTGAAAGAGATACAATTTGAAGTCTTATAGATATCTTTATGATTTCAAATTGTATATCTTCCACAACTTACATATTATTTTGCTCAGCTACTCAATAAGAACTGTATTTTTAAACAAAAAAAAAAGCGATTTTTTTATTAATTTAAACCTTTTTAATAAATTTGTTAAAAAATCTGGTATTTTACTATAGATTTTCGCGGATGTTACGCAAAAAATTAGTCATATGGGCTACGTATACATAATTTTGATTTACATCGAACACCCCCACCGTTACAATTATTAACAAACAATATGTATTACTGTTACAGTTGAAGTATATTAAAGTACGTATGTACCGTGCACTGCCTAAGAGACTTGGATTTAATACAAAAATATAAACGTGCTAAAAAACTTGATTTGTATCGAAGTATTGGTATAAACATGTAACGAAGATATCTTGCTATAAAAAAAATGCTACTGTACAAGTCACTCTCGTTATGGTAAAACTCTTATCGTTATAGTGAACCACCCATTATAGTGAATACCAGTTTATGTTAAAAAGCCTCTCGATATAGTGAAGATCTTACAGCCCAATCACTTCACTATAACGAGAGTGACTTGTATTACTGTACTATTCCCTTTACCGACAATCATTTCATCGGCAGATCATTTAGTCGACATCACATAGGGTTAGGGTTAACATTTTTGATTAGTTGCCAATATATTTTTTTTTTATAAATTGTCATTTGTTGTGACGTCGGCTAAATGAGCTGTCTAAGTAACTAAAAAAAGCTTAGAATTTTATTACATATATATATTATAAGTGGATACCGAATATCCACTTAAGTTGAATTCGGATCTTGAAAAAAAACAAGTGGTTATGTAATTTTATGTGACCATATTAGAAATACAATTAAAGTGATCAAATTATTAGTTACGAAATATATTTTTATTTTAATGTATTAATATAAGACGTCAATCTAAGAAAATCCTTTTATTTCGAAACAGGTTTTTAATGATTTGGTTAATAAATGGTTTGAAGGAAAACTTTAAACCTTTTACTTTATTTCACGAAGCGACTATAATCTTATTATCGTAGTACTTCGTTAATCCAGTAATAAAAGCTTAGAAATCTTTACAAATCCAAATGCTCAAATAATTACAATCTTAAAATTTGACTTGAATACTTTTAAAAATTATATGCAAAACCGAATTGGGTCAAATCGGAGACTTAGGGACAAATTTTTAATTTGGAAATATCAACGATTAATCATTTGATAACAACCGTGATAAGTTGATAGTGTAACATAGTGTAACCATCGTAGGTACTTGTCATCCGAGTTTAACTCGAATAGTTGACGTTAGAAGGTCACATGAATTGGGCTGGCATTCGGATATTCATGATTTATTAGGCATTTATTATAAAAAGTTTTAGGAGAGCGTATATTATTTCTCACGAAGGGCAAGAGCAAGCACCTACGTATATACAAGTTAATTTCTTAGAACGACGTTCATACATACGCATAATTTAATTTAATCGTACACGCTCTTGCATGAATGAAGTCATCAAGAATACGTAATAATGCCTAATACTACTAAGGTAAGATTAACATGACTATGATAGTACAATTATGGAAGGTAAGTGACAACTTAACGTTAAAGAATTAGACAAATATGGAAGTGAGGAGACACAGGAAAAATTAATCATATAAATAGGGATTCCCAAAATTCCGGGTCAGAATGCATCGGAATCCTGCTAATGAAGTCTTATTCACTAAGTAAAAATGTCAGCTGATAGTTTTGCTATAGAGTGACTTTTAAATTTTTACTAATAGCTGTACACAAGACTTTTTTTATAAAATCAGTACTCAAAATTTAAATACGCAAAATAAAATCCTAACCTATAAAATTTTATATAAACTACGGCGAAAATCAGTTACAGATAGTGATACGGGTTGATGAAAAAATCATGGGCCGGGGTCGATCCTAAAAAAGCTCGGGCCGAACTTTTTAAATTTTTCTAAGAATTAGTCTCGATACCTATATCAAACGTGTAGAAAGCCATCAGGTAGTTCCTTTCCAAATTCAAGTATACAAAAATCATTTAGTTTTTATTCTTTTTGTACTTAATTATAATGCGTTAAATTTCATGTTGATCAATTGTCTATGCGTCAGGCATTTCCATTTCTTATACGTATTAGTTATTTATAATTTATCACCTAAACTAGCCAATAAGATAGCTGCGCAGCATGCGATGCCGCGCAGGATCAGTACGATCAGACGTACAAGTAAAATTCAAAAAAATATAAAATAACGTTGTTGCATTAAACCAGGAATAAAATATCAATAGGCTCTATATAATTTAACAACTATCTGGTGATATATATGCGATTGAGTTAGTTGTACTCAAAGTATCGTGATTTCTATCACGAGTTTCTGCAAAATCTTCCGAAACTTACTCGACATCTCACTAGAACATAGAATATTTTAAGATCTAATTAGTTTATGTAAATATTCTTGTAAAACTTACTCGCTATTCCAATGGTATATAATAGTCAGAATTATCGTAATTTCTACCGTGAGTTACTGTTAAGTATTCAGTTACAGAATTTACTAATATAGTACACAATTATTAGTATTAAGGTTGAATTAGTTCGTATTGAAATTATTATGTTTTTCATAATTAATTATAGTAGATATCTTGTTATAAACTTACTTGTATTCTAGTGATCGCATTAAGTGGTCAATGTTGAGTGATTTCTATCATGAGTTAGTTGCCACAGAATTTTACTCGTTAATGCGGTACATACAGAATTTATTCGCTAATTCAGTTACAGTGTTTAAGGTTGTGTTAACTTGTATTGTAAATATTATTATTCATATTATGGAAAGATTATGCAGAACTTAGTTAATATTCTGATAATTAGAATATATGGCTAAAATTAAATTAGTTCGTATTGGAAGTCGTGATTTCTATGTGATTAAAATCATAATTAGTATTAAAATTATTATAATTTCTACTATAAAAATATTCTATTACAAAACTTATCTCAATTGCAGCAACTTTAATACATAGTTAAAATTAAGGTGGTATTGTACTTAAAATATGATTTTTACTGTAAAAAATTCTGTTATGGTGCAGAACATCTAGTCACATCACAAAATAATTGCTTGCAATAAAAGTTTAATAACTTTTTAACTAAAAATGTTTTTTAAAAAAATCTTTCTATAGTTATATTATTAAAAACCTAAAGAATATTGATATAGAGAGTTTTTTTAAAAAGGTCTTTTGTTTAAAAGTTATTTTACTCAGGATTTTAAAAATTTTAGCACTATTATAAAAAAATTAAATTAATTATAAAAAATTCAACAAATCATCTTCATTTTTATAAGTAATGATATGCAAAATTTTCAGCACCCGTGATGTCTTTAGATGTCCTGCACTATACAGAGCTTACTTACCATTTAACAACATCAATATTTAGCCTGTCCCAAAATTATGACTTCTATATGATTAAGGTCAAGTTAAAATTATCATGAATTCTATATAGGTAATTCTGTGTTGGATTGTATTGAAATTATTGATTTCTATCGTGAGTTTCTAAAAAAAAAAAAATCTGTTACAGAGCTTACTCTTTTTTTTTTTGATAACCATGGTATTGTAGTTTAGTTGGTTTGCATTAGAATTATTTTGATTTTTGTGTAATTATTGCTCTTTTCAATTTAGTTAAATCGATGAATTTTGCAGATTTTTTTTTTTGTCTGTGAGTTTCATGAATTTGGAGTTTCATATATACAAATATCTTGCATATAATTAATTGTTAGTTGTCTATTATACAAATAATTATTATGTACAGGCATGTGTATATATGAGACTCACAAATTCATAGGGCTTACCAACTAAATCAAAAAGAGCAATAAGGCTTAGTAGTTGTATTTAAATTGCTTGATTTTTATTATAATAATTTTTTATAGAACTTACTTGAATATATTATACCAGTGACTACATTATGTAATTGAGTTAGTTATAAGGTACTATAATAAATTCTGTTACAAAACTTATTCTCTAATACATACATATAGCAATTAAGGTTATTTTAAAATTATCATGCTTTCTATTAGAAAAATTTTTACAGAAGTTGTTTGATATCCTGATAACCATAAATTATGAGGGGAGGGTGCTGTAATAAATATACAGTCAGACCTCTCTAAGTGCACCGCACACCATCTTTAAATGCACGCCCAAGCGCTGGCCCAAATATATACTCGACCTCTATAAATGCACTTTTTCTCATTATTCTTTATATGCACGTTATTGAAGTGTGGTCCCAAGGATGTGCACTTAGAGAGGCCTGATTGTAGTTACAAAAAATATGTACAGTAAGCAAACCTATATAATAGTCTAATAAAAGTTCCCGAGGGCATCCTTTTAAAAGAAAAAAGCTTTGTTATAATGAAGATAAAAGTTTATAAGGTTTAAACATGACTCACCTTTGTTATTCAATAGCTCAATTTCTTTCAGCCGACAAGCCATCTAAGCCTTTAGTTCGAAATTATCTACAGAATGTCACTTTTCTCCTATGACAATATAAAACTTAATAAGTGCATTTAATAAAAATAATGATTTTCATTCTTATAGATTATTCACAAAAACAATATGGAAAATTTTTTTGTCAATTTTTTGCGATTATTTACCTAAATATTTTGTTATGATTTTCGTAAAATAATCATTGTAATATTTTTTTACATATACATATCATAATTTATATTAATTTATAACCACTTTTTGCGATAAAAAAGAATTAAATGCACTCCTTAAACAATAAACATTATAATATTTGTTACATTATGCATATTAATTTATAAGCACTTTTGAGATTACAAAGGATTAAATACACGTCCTAAAACACACATGGAAGGAAACTAAATTACTTGAGATAGCGATACGAGCTGATGAAAAAATTATGGGACGGGTTCGACAGTGCAAATTGCAAATTAGAATCATTATTTACATCTATATCAAACAGGTAAAAAGCTATAAGCCATATTCTAGTAATATTAAATTATTTAGTTTCTATTCTTTTTGTCCTTGAGAAATTCTATATTTTATGTTGATTAATTTTCTATGTAACAACCGTTTCTTTCCCTATCATACCCTATCATATTTCATATTTGTTATTTGCCATTTATTATCTAAATTATCCAAACTAATGATTGTCTTAAATGACAGACCGATTTTAATCAATTTCTAAAAGCTTTCGGTATTGACAAAAATGTCTAAACTTTCATCAAACAATTTGCCGGTTGATGAGGCAAAAGACAATTGTCCTTTTCTTTAATAATGGAAATAAATTAGTCATGTAAAGTTAATATGGGTAGTTTGAAAGAATAGGAACCCAATGATGTCTTCGTGAATCACATCACATGATTAAACCTCGGCCTAAGTTAGGGTTAGTGTTAGGTTTAGGCAATACAGTCAGACCTCTCTAAGTGCACCCTCTATAAGTGCACACCCTCTCTAAATGCACGCTCAAGTGCTGGCCCAAATATATACTCGACCTCTATAAATGAACTTTTTCTTATTACAGTCAGACCTCTCTAAGTGCACCCTCTATAAGTGCACACCCTCTCTCAAGTGCTGGCCCAAATATATACTCTACTTCTATAAATGCACTTTTTCTTATTATTTTTTATATGCACGTTATTAAAGTGTGATCCAAAGGATGTGCACTTAGAGAGGTCTGACTGTATTTTTTATATGCACGTTATTAAAGTAGGACGTGCACTTAGAGAGGTCTGACTGTAATTATTAGGTCTTCATCGATATTGTGTTCTATCAATGAAAAAATTATTGATGTAATAGTTGAATTTGTTGCCATATGAATAAAAGTTAAGTTATGGCAAGCAACTACAATCTTTTTCAGGCTTCCTTATATTTTTTATTTTCAATGAAAATTTTTAGTGTAAGGAGTAATATAGCATTTGAGAATGAGATACCTGACAAAGTTATTTAAACGATCTCTTGATTATTCATTTAATTTCAACTTTTGCCAAGCCAGTGATAAAATAAAGATTATTTGTTGTAAAATTTTGTAAATTGAAATGATAAACTCGCTTAATATTTTTACCATAAATATCATGACAAAACACAATTGACCTGATTAAAATATTTTCGGCTAAGTAAAATTATTCTCCAACACTTTTTTGTAGAACGTCCTTAGCAAGAATTTTATTTAATAAGAAATTTTTTGAATTTTTTAACCAATAAATGCGTATATCATTAAGATAAATAATGTAGATTTTTGCATCAAAGAAAAGGAAAATGGCAGTTGTTTATCACTTCATCTTTTTTCTTTTTTTTCTTTTTGCATCTTTACTACTATGGATTTTTTTTATTTTATTTTATTAGTACACCTTTTGACACCAAATTCAGACAAAATGACATTTAATTTCAAACAAAATGATATTTAATTTCAGACAAAATGATATCTAATTTTATACAAAATAACATTTAATTTTATATAAAGTGACATTTAAATTTATACAAGTTGATATTCAAATTCATACAGCTAGACATTCAAATTTGTACAAAATGACAATTAAAATAAGATTGATTAAATCATGATATCTTGTGATCTAGTAATCTAGTTTGGATGATTTTGGCATCATTCGAATCGCCTCATCGAGAGGATTTGAATGGTACCAAAAGCATTAAAATTGGATTCTAAATCATAAAATATCACAATTTAATCAACCTTATTTTAATTGTTATTTTGTACAAATTTGAATGTCTATTTGTATGAATTTGAATATCAACTTGTATGAATTTAAATGTCACTTTGTATAAAATTAAATATCATTTTGTATAAAAGTAAATATTATTTTGTATGAAATTAAATATTATTTTGTATGAAATTAAATGTCATTTTGTCTGAATTTGGTGTCAAAAGGTGTATGCTAAAAATATTTTTAGCAAACAATCATTAGAAGGCTTAAAAAACAACAATTCTTTTTAGCGGCATAGTAAAAATGTGATGCAGCAAAGAAAGGCTCATTATCAGGGCTTCAAGTTTATTAACTCAGTCTATCTGATTTTAGGGACCGTATTTAGCGAATTATAAGATAACAGGTTTTCTCTCAGTAGCCTCAAATAAAAAAACTATATGTAAATATATTACATGAGTAGCCTCGATATATTGATTTATGATTCACTGCGTTCATTTTATTCAGCGCCAATTTTTCTCTCACAATAATAAATTCTATTTCAATGTATTAGATTATAATTGAAGTTTATCTAAGTCTGTTTTAACTTTATTTCTATTTTATAATGGTAAGCAATGTTAAGCATTCCATTAACGTCCAGTATCTGCAAATTTGATAATAGAATAATACATTCTTTAACATCAACTTCGTAAGGATAACATTGTTTACAGAGCTTAATATTTTATGTAAATCCTTTCAAAACCAATTCCATAAAGGACAGCAATATCGTTTTACCAGCAATCATGTTTATATTAATTTAGTACGTAAAACAACTCGGTGATTTAATTTATTAACAAACAGGTTCATGGAAGTAAGAATGGAATTGATTTGGTCGACTACTAAGTTAAGTCACCTAATTAGTCAACTAAGCATAATAGTTAATTAGATTGATTTTTATGGCCGATTAACTGATTCCAATCTATACATAGGAATATTATCAAATTTAACGTGTCGCTGCAGTATATATCTTTTTACAATTTTTTAATCTCTATATCTATAATTTAAATGCGGGTCCGCCTTACTTCACCGATAACTTACTTAACCGGCATCACGCCAAGCGACAATTTATTAAAGATATATATATACCTGTAACTAATAAAACGCTAATCCTAAAGTTAATTTTTGGTAAAGATTGTCGGTGAAGTGCAGTACCGCCTAATACTAAAGGCTGTTTACCGATAGATGTTTATTTTACAATATATGATATTAATTCTAATGAATAAATTCGGTATATGCATTGCTTTTCACTTAAGTCTTTTATAATTGGCTATCCCTTGTATTGACGATAAAATTTCTTTTAATGTCTCCGATATCGATAATAAAGATAAAAAATGCTATTAGCAGTTAAATATTCAAGTGAATATTGATTAGTGTAACTAATGAATTTAATGAATTTTTGCTAGTATGAATCTTACTATATCTATATGAATAGATTCATTAATTTGATCACCATTTCTTTATCAGATTTTAAAAATTCGTTCAAAATTTCAGTATTATTTTTTCAATTTGAAATAATTTAATGAATTTCTATGGCTGATGCTTGTTTTTCTGGATCAATATCCCAGTATTCTAGTACTTCTTAAAAAGATTTACATAGCATGGTCCTTTAATAATGATTAATCTCAAACCTTCTCCAATTACTATTTCGAAGTTTAAATTTCAATATTCATAACACATTTCTAGAGGAAACCTCCCACAGAATCATTCCAAAAGAATAAATGTTTGATGCTTTGTGAATATTTTTCTTGCAAAGCTTTAGGTGCAATTTACTGTAACACTCTATAAAATTTCCAACCAATACTGCACTTTTTTGGTTAATTTTTTATTAATCGATGTTGTAAATCCTAAATCTCTAATATATGCAGTATATAAAATAGATCATTTTGAAATATATGAATAACAATATTCAAATGAATAAAATGAAGATCGAATACATAAGAAATTAATTCTAATTTTTCTCTCATTTCATTTGAGCAATTCATAAAGATTCTTACGTAAAAGATTCCCTTTCTGCATATTGCATAACTAAAATATATTACAGCTGTTTTCAAAAAGATGTGGAAAACGATTTCCATATACTCATGTGGGAAATCGAAGAATGTGGGAATTCTGCTTAGTAAAATTAAAAATCCGATTATAGCGGGTCTTAAAGGCTCTGGAAATATCATGAATTCCCCATGGTATAGTGATCTGCGTCTTTCACAAAATTTTGAAAACAGCTATAATCTGTATTTTCATTCTTTGGTATTCCATAGCATTGCAATAATGTAAGACTTTTAGAAACTGAATATTAATAAGGCTAAATTAATAAAACATAGAGTTATTATATATTTACTTTATTTACAATCTTGCAGCTATCTTTTGATTCATGATGTAATTTAAGCACAATAGTCTGATTTAAAATACTTTCTATTGTTGTGCGTTTCCAATTAGCAACATAACAGTTGCAAAACCCACCTTTCCCGATTTTTTCTATAAATTCTGATTCATAAATAGAATCCATAATATTAATAAACTATTGGCAGATCTAATTTTTTTTAAAGAGTTATTATAATAAACAGTCTATTCGATATTATTAATTTTCGCTCTTGCAGTCACTTGACAGCTTTTTGTTGGTTATGAGATGTTCTGTTAATTAAATAATTAATAGTAGCCAAAAGAACTTTAAAGTTTTTTTTTTAAACAAAAATTTATAATAACAAATCATTAAAACTATTTATTATGAACTAAATGCATTATTGGTTTCTTTTTTAAAAAAATACTTTTTATCATTATTCAGACATGTTTTTTATTATTTATTATAATTCAAAGAAAGTTTAAAGTTTTTATTATAAATTAAATGCGCACAATATGTGATTTTGTCTCAAAATTGACCTATAAGCAAGAGTTAACATTTATCAACTTCAAAAACTTATTTAACAATCTTTATTTAGAATATAATATATGAATTAAGAATACATAAAAATTATAAATCAATAACTAAATGTACAATTAGTGCATGTACATCCATTGCAATATGTCCAATAACTTTGTACATCATTGCATGGAACACCAGTTTCCACAGGATCACACCCATTTGGACATATACATCTTAAATCAGACTGATCCTGAGGATCCCAATCACAGGCATATATTGAGTAGTTGGAAGTATAACCTGTAAAGAACTAATATTAATATTTAACTAGAATTTTGATAATAATTGAGAAATTATACCCACAAGTAAGACTATGACAGTGTGAATATCCAGAAAGTATACTGCAAATAACTGAATCTACTGAATCTACATGTTGTAGGCTTAAAGTTAAGATACCAACAACAAGTAAGAATGTAATGACAACCTTTTTCATAGCTTCTATAATAAAAAAAGAAAAAACTATTTGAATATGGTGTAACTAAATAGCAAACTTTTTCATAATTTCCAAAATAAAAATAATACTCTTATTGTCGCAACTGAAGCTAAAAATTTTAAATATCTTTATATGAATATTTAAAACTTTACAGTATGAATTTTTTAAGCTTTATTTATTATTTTTTTAAAATAGTTAGGCAGGTTTAGGATTAGTTTTGAAATAAAAAGTATAAATGGATTTTAGTAGGGTTTATGTTTTCAAAATAGAGAACTCTAATTTTTGGCTTCAGCACTTCTAGCTTAAGCAGTTCACTTCAGCCACGACAATTATTATCGTCTTGATACATTCCAATTTTTAAAAATCGTTATAATAAAATTAAATACCTTTTTAAGCTATGCTATAATTTTTAGCTTTGGTAAATTATTAGAGAATTACTGATTATATAGATTATGAAATGTAAATGAATAATCAGTATGGAATAGAACTTCAAGAATTGGTGATTAAATATGTTTTTTATAGAATCGTGCGATATTCATTTTATACGTCATTGTTTATTTTTTAAGAGATCATTTTTTCTTATTTATTTCATTTATAAATGTAATATCAAATTTGTATGGATAATATCAAATTTGCAATGATAATTATATTGATAAATCAAGAAAAAAATTTTTTGTATGACATAACTATATAACATTACGATATAAAATTACGCATCTTAAATATTGAGAAGCAGATATTTTAAATTCGATTATTGATTTGTTTACAGTGATCAGTTAATTCTAAGGTAACTTTTTAACATAAAAAGCAAGTAGCCCATCACAACTTATAGTATTGTACATACTTTCTTGTTTAAGCTATGTTTTTGCATTGTGGAAATGAATAACTAAAATTAGGTTGTTTTAGTCAATTCCTCAAACATTCTTTTACAGGTCACTTACCTGACATCACATAGGTTAGGGTTAACATTCGATTAGGTGCAAGTATTTATTTTTAGCAAGTTGACGCCTTGTGTGATGTCGAGGCTGAAAATAACTTTTGGGAAATCGTAACCCTAAAATTGCGAATACATGAATTTGTGTAATTAATAGTAATAATATTAATATGAAATTCTATACTTGTAGTCTTGCATTGTAAAATTTCCTTTTTTAGCATTCTATAATAATAGGCTTCAAGTCGCGATTTGATTGGCTTGATATTTTGATTGGTTGGACTTCTGCGCACGATTTTCTGCATATTACTCTATTTTGTTGCACATAAACAAACAACTGATCATGCGTATAGCAAGTGAAATAAAATCATTATTGTAGCGAGAATGAAGAAACCGCTGACTGCTCGCCTAGGAAATTACAAATACTATAACAAACAATAGTAAAAACATAATTTTTTAGCGTTAATCTTACTTTCACGAAACCCGCCTTCCCGAAATACTATTTCCCGACCCCATAAAACTGAAATCCCTTTTTTCTGACAAGACTAGTGATGTTAAGTGGTCCGACTCAAACTGATGGACCACCGGTCTTGTCTTTTTTGGGACAGACCGAAAGGACCGTCGGTCTTAATATCAGTTATAATTAAATTATTGTTACAGATAATTATATAAATAAAATATAATCTGATTTGATCTGATAATAAATTTAGATTATGTACGTACATAAATATAATATCTAATTATAGTCACGAGAAAACTTTTTATTGATAAAAAGTCATATGTTAAGCAGCTAATACTTAATTGCATGTTTTGTGTTTGCATATAACTGTTCTGAATTTGGAAAAATTAAATTTCTTTAGCGTAAATTAAGTGCATGCATAATTAAACAAATATGTATAGAATACTCCAACCTCATATAGTGACTTTTTCAATTACGATACTAATTTAGTTAGATGTTTAATTAACCAAAAAAATAAAAGTCTTAAACTAAATCATTACAATACAGTATTAATATGTTCGTAAGTTATTTGAGAAAAGCTACCTTTACTATCATATATTACTCTATTAGGTTATTTTTAGAGGTTTAAAAAATGATAAAAATTTAAAAATTTTAAATAGGGTTTTTTCATATTTAATATCTATTTTATAATAACTGGTGTTTTTAACAAGAGTTAGATATACAAAATTAATATATTTAATATAATAATGAATTAAAGCATACTGGTGCAAAATAAATTCGAAAGATCACAAAGTAAGCAACGAGCGATTTTTCACTAGAACTGATATGTAGTGTACTAGTATAATATACTCATTTCAACTCCCTTTAAACAATCAAATGCCTATTATACAATAAATTTTTTGTAATTTTTATATTTTTTTTATACACATAATCATTTATTTTAATCAATATCTATTTGCATATTCGTCTTTATTAGTTTTGTTACCCTTTATAGTTTCGTCAGTTTCATAATTTCATTATTTAAGATTTTAATTGACGAAAGACGAAACTAGGTTTCGCGTTTCGCAGCGCGAAACCTCGAGATTTCGTCTAACAGCTATATATGCAACCAATGTTGAATTAGTTTGCATTGGAATTATCATGATTTTTATATAGTTAAGATTGATCTGATTTGTTTGTAATGGAATTATCGTAATTTTTATCACGAGTTACTAAAAAATTTACGATTAGTTTTATTGAAATTATCGTTATTTCTACCATGGGTTATTGTAAAAAAAAAAAACTTATGTTATAGAACTTACTATTCTGGTGACCACAGTATATAGTTAATTCAGTTTGTTTGCATTAAAATTATCAAAGAAGATCATACTGCATAAGCAAATTAGGTAAAGAGGAGACATCAAAATAGTAAATGCTTAATGACAAATAAATACTTCAGCAAGTTACGTTTTATTTCCTAGCGGTCGTTTTATTTACAGTTCATTGTACAAATGGCCAGTGTTGTTGACTGGAAGCTGGAATCTCACTGGACGTCCAGATATTTCCAGTGTTCCAGTAGTTCTAGCGAAGTTTTCACTGAAAGTGATTATTTCACTGGAACCGATATAATACTAGCCAATAAGATTACAGATAAAAATTAAGGTTATTATAGACACGTGATATACCTGTTATCCAATCAATTGCAAGAATACTTTTCATTTACTATTACATGTACCTCGAAAATTGGGAATTTTACTGGTAAAGCAAACACCCGTGACTTAAATCCATAATCACCACAAATTTTTATTTAACTACTATTAAAATTAATGCAAGTAAAATTAAATCCTTACAATAAAATTATACAAAATATAATTTCGATATCGTATTTTATTTCATTTAATTTTAAATGTCGATCATTTCATTTCAAACACTAAATTGGGTTATGTAAAATAGTCTCGATTTAGCGCTTGAAATGAAATAATTATATGAGAAATCATTCAATAGGGTGATTCAGAACTAAGTTTCAGGTTTTTGATTTCGAATTAATTTAGTGATGTATTTATTTCGATGAGTTCGAATTAAATCAGTGATATATTTATTTCGAAATTAGTGATTCATAAATCTTTATTTTGATTTTTAAGCTTATTTATTATATAATAATAATAATAATTAATACTTTTATGATCGTGAATTTTCTTTTGAAACTTGATATCTTCACATATATTTTAAAATATCTTATATTTCGACAATTACATATTAAGGGCATAATAGTATTTTAGTAACACTAATAAAAGAATATCATAACATCATTTAAGAATTTTGAATAATTTCTTTATTAATTTATTACGATAGTAACATATAATAACAATATCAAAAAAAAAAAAGGTCTCATTCGTCTCTGGATAACTCTTACTTCATTTTCTGCTTTCAAAATTTTAAAACAGAAATAGCCCACTTTATTTTCGAAATAAGTTAATATCAATATTACAGCAAACGTTTGAATTTGCAAAAATAGGTATACACGTCACTCTCGATATAACGTAATATCTCAGGCACATAGTGAGGAATTTTTAAAATCTGCTTTTATTATGGTGTGGATCTTAATCTTGATCCATTATATCGAGATTTTACTTAGTATCCATTATATTAAGAGTCTGTTATATCGAAAGTGACATATACAGTACCACGAGAGGTGACCAATTAGAATTAATTAAATGAATGTTTCTTCGGTTATCATTGACCACTGCTTGCAATATTTACAAAAAACAAAACCTCCATGATTAAGATTCGGGTGCTAATTTTAATATAATATATTCCAATTACGATATCAGTAACCACCTAAATTTGATTCTAGATCAACTTTATAATTTAATATGTGCGAAAAAACTTCTTTATTAATTTCTTGTATAGATATTAGTAAAATTAAAATAAAAATCAAATTATAGTTAGGCGATTATCAATCGTCGTGTTATCTTTGTAAAGTTTAAAATTAAACTGCCGTATAAAAGACCCGGGTCTCTTACACCCCACCAATATTAAAACCTAATATAAGACCCGGGTCTAGTACATGGTGGAGAGTTTGTACTATAACGATTAATTTTTCCTGTGTCTCCTCACTTCCGTATTTGTCTAATTCTTTAAGTTGCCACTTACCTTCCATAATTGTACCATCATAGTCATGTTAATCTTACCATAGTAGTATTAAGTAGCTTATTTCATGCCAGAGCGTTTACGCTCATACACGCTTGCATAAACTTGTGATCATTGCGCCTTGGGCAAATATGGAATCTACAGCGTAAGCGTTGAGATCCTGATGCTGACCATCTGTAAAATTAGAATGTATATAAGAGTGTGTCTTCATCCTTAGTTGAGGATAACATTCGCTTTCCCAAAATTCCTCAATAAATAAAGCTCATATATGTTCACACTCTTTTTTATGAATATCTAAATACCATAATTTATCGCCCAATTAATGTGACCCTTCTAACGTCAACCATCAGAGTTAAATTCGGCATAACAATACCATGCTCTCCCTTACGATGGTTACAATACCATTAGAAGTAAAATTTTAAAAAGCATGCATATTATTCATTCATAGTGGGCGGCCTAGATATTTAAAAAAAAAAAAAA